AATATTTCTAACGAAATTTTTAAAAATATCGTTAAAGATAAATTGACGCGATAATCGGCCATTTGTCGAAGCTATTTTTACTTCTACGAACTATCACTTAAATAATACGCGGTAAATAGATAACTGGTAAACAAAACTCGATAAAATGAAAAAGAAATTGTATCGCGAAAGGGATAATTTGTCAAGTACAAAGGGGACGGAATTACCGGTGTACAATATGAATTTTACAACTAAAATCGACTACTCGTTGCAACGCGCCCGTTATATTTTACAAGGAGAATGATCATTAATATCGTTCATTGATATTAATTTCTGTCAAGCTTCGTAATTATCTGACAGGGCATGTGATCATTTAATGGATTATTATATGCGCTTCCATCTGAGTATTAACTCATTTTCCGCGTTTTAAAAAACAGCTCGACACGGTTCGTTGGTAATTTTCCAAATTGTTTACACGCGATGCCTGCACTCATTTACACATGGGCGAAAAATATTTCGTAAAATATTAATATGGGCAAAGTTTGCGCTTTACGCCCGATATTAACGTAACAAAATATTCCCACTTGGAATGAAAAATTAACGAATATAAAAGGGAAATTTGATCCACGCGTGCTCGCCGTGGACGAGTAGAAGGAGGTGTAACGATACCAACTTTTGCGCCAAGTCTCTCGCAATCGCTAGCCGGCCATGGTCTCGACCATCGATAGGATTGATTAATCATCGATACGAGTGAAACGACAATGTTATCAAACGACGCGAACGTAAGTAAAACTCACGTCGACTATCGAACGATCGTCTCCCGTTGGTCGTTCGTTGATCGAAAGTGTCGTTCCACCGAGTGGAACCGCCAAGTCGTCGTCCTTTTGCCGATCTTATCTCTCTCTCTCTCTCTCTCTCTGTCCGTTGAGCGCGGTTCGTTAGATCGGTGTTTTCGAGCACTAATACCGCTTTGAAGTTTTTCGGTGGTAGGCGGTTCCAAGGCGTTGCATCGTTGGTCGGTCGGTCGGTCGGTCGGTCGGTCGGTCGGTGAAGGGAGGAGGGTAAGGCAAAGACAAAAAGAAGGTGCCGCGTCATTTTCGTCAATTTAACTCGGCTCTCCCTTCCCCCGTAGGCCACGTAGGATCGCTCGGTATTTCGCTCTCTCTCCCCCTGCTCCTCCCCGCCCCTTCCACCCCTTCCCGCCACGTCCGCCCCTGTGGGCCACTCACCCCCACCCTCCCTCCCGTACTCGCCTCGTCTCGCCTCGTCTCACCCCCTCCGCGGCTTGGCTCGCCTCGTCGAAGCGAGGTCAATCGACGGAGAGGGCTGAAGACGACCCCCACCCTTCGTCACCAGCCTCCCTACCACGGCTACTCAATATCGTTTCATTACGCACCCTGCTCCGCCATACCCATCCCCCAGCCATCCTCGCTCACCCTCCACCCTCGCTGCGCCTGCACCGACACCCTGCACCGTCGCCACTGCACCCTCTCTCCCCCCCGTCTTCCTCGCAACCTCCCCCCTCCCAACCTCCTTCTCCTCCTTCTCCTCCTTCGCCTTCCTTCTCTCCTTCCAACTCCACCTTCTCCACCTTCCTTCTTCCTCCCTTCCCGCCTCACCCCTTCAACGTCTCGTTCCTACCTCGGCGACGAAACACGAATGCCCACGAATTTTTATTGTTACTTCTCGCGCTGCTTCCTCTCGCCTCCCCCTCTCACGACCTTTTTTTATGCGCCTTTTAACGATCAGCAGTAACTGCACCCACCCGAACGCTCCCCGCTCCCTCTCGGTCCTTTCCTCCCTTGCGCCTTGGAGGCGACCGTTTTCGAGAAACCGAGGGGTGCAAAAGAAAGAAAAAAAGAACACGCGATAGGAGGAGCGGAAAAAAATTCTCCGCGTTATTCTAGCGTTATTCCCTCCGTTGCCCGACAAACCAACATACTTGTCGAACATATTTTTCGATTCGAAGAGATGGAAGACACCATCCGATTTCCATCCCTTTATCCACAAGAATTATCACCAATTCCGTAGACCATTCGTCGATTTTTAATTTCGTCGATTTTTAATTTCGTCGATTCGAATTTATTCGAAACCCGTATCGAAACACACTCACGCATATATATATATATATATATGTATAAATCCTAGGTTTCGAAACGCATCAACGAGCAACGTCAACAAATGCTCCCCGCGAGTGTGGTGCACGTGGTACACCGATCCGTGAAAACGGTTCACCTGTCCGCAAATATTTCCATTCCGTGCGCGCGTCACGTATACGTACGTACTCTCTACGCCTCGATCCTCTTGTTCCTAGCGTATCCCTCGTCGTATGCGCTCGTGCGACGTCCAGGTAGCGAGAATGCTGCCTCGACGAGCCGGCATTTCGTTGCGCTTTCGTTCTCGACGCGAGCACGAATTCTGGTTGATCCTCGACGCGGTTCGCATCGAACGATCGTTCCCTCGATCATCGTTTCATCCTTTCATCCAGGATTCACACGCGCCGATTCACGAAACGAGACGGATCACGCGATCGTCCGCGATGTTCAAGAAAATTCGAATCGGTCGCCGGAACGCGTTTCGCATCGATCATCGCTGTGTGCAACGAGCGACACGTGTACAACGTAACAGGTCGGTTCGGGGGGAATCGCGCTCGAGGCCAAGACTCACAAGATCCGTCAGATTCGAGATTCGGCGGAGAGGAGAAGATTTCTTCCTCCTCCTCCGAAAGAAAGAAAGAAAAACCGGACGGGGGCAACACGTCACTGACACCGTGGAAAAAAGAAAACAGCCCCGATGGTTGGGAAACGAGGCACACTCGAGGCGAGAAACTTTTTACACCGAGCACGTTGCACGAGCACGAAGCAAGAAAGGCGAACGAGGCGCGGCGTTACGTATACGTGTACGGTCGGAAGAGGGATGCGCCACGGCGGCCGCTCGCACACCCTTCGTCACCCTTTCACCAACGCTTACTGGTTGATCTCCGAAGATCATGGAAGTCTCGAGAGGAATACGCCGGCGGACGTCTAACGCGCACATACGCAACCTCTTCCTCGCGCTCCTACACCCCGCGTTTCCGCTTTCTCTTTCTCCTTTTCTCGGGGAAACGTGCCACTACCACCTTGCTTTTCAGAATCTTCTCCGTCGCGGCGGCGGCGGCGGCAGAGGCAGCGGAGGTGGAGGAGGAGCAGCAGCAGCAGGAGGAGGAGGAGGAGGAGGAGGAGGAGAAGAACCGATCGCGAAGAAAAAAGTGGAAATAGGGGGTTCGTTCGGGAAGAAATCGAACGGGGGGAGGGAGGGGGAGAGGAGGGAGGGAGAGGTGGAAGGATCCGTGGAAACGGGGGGAGGGAAAAAAGAAGGAAGGAAGGAAGGAAGGAAGGAAGGAAGGAAGGAAGAAAGGTAGGACCTCGCGAAAATTTCTCGACCACCAGCGGCAGCTGCGTTCCGAAATGAGGAAAGAGAGTAGAGTGTAGCGGTAGTGGAAGTAGTAGGGACAACGAGGCTAGTCCGAGCGGGGGAATAAAGGTATGGGGAGGGGGGAGGAAAAAGAGGGACGAAGGGTGGCGCGAGGTTACGAAAGTGGAGGAAGAAGCGTAACGGGCAAGAGTACACGCAACAGCGGCGCGCGTGGAAACGCGGCTTCTACGAGTAACAGCGGAGAGAACTCTTCTCTTGACGGACTAAACCCGAAGGCGAGAGGGGAGGGAGAGGCGAGAGAGAGAGAGAGCGAGAGAGAGAGAGAGAGAGAGAGAGAGAGAGAGTAGGAGAATAATGGTGGGGGCGTAAGCGGGCAATAGAGGGATGCGGGTCGGGAGGAAGAGGGAAAAAGGGAGAAGGAGGAGGAAGAAGGGAGGTAGTAAGAAGAAGAAAAGAAGGTTTCGGGCGGCGGCCGGGATCGCTCCGGTTGTCTGTGGTCAAGGCACGCAGCTCGTGCGGTGTGTCTTACACACTCTTACGTATAGCATTCTCCGCGCGTTCTCTCGCTCTCTTACGTATCTCGTGCCTTTCTTTCGTGCGGGTGTGCGCGATGGTGTCGATGCCGTCCAACGACTTTTTCCTTCTCTCCCTCTCTCCCTCCCCTCCTCTCTCCGTTCAAATAAGAAAGATCTTTAATTACGATTTCTCGTATATTCGTATTCGATCGGAGGATAGAAAACGATCCTCGACGTTTCTCTCGTCGAAAGAAAAACGAGGGGGAAAAAAAAGAAGAGCTTTAATCATCGTTTCTCGACGGTCGAAAATGCGTAGCCCTATTCTGCTATTCGAAAATGAAAATTTTCGAGTGAAAATTGTAGAGAGAGATATATACGAAACATCGTTGAATCTAGTTAGTACGCGCGAGCGAGGTGTACGGCGCGAAATATCTCTCTGTTTCTCGACAACGTGCAACCACCCTGTTGAACGTACGGACACGAGTAGGAGTCACGCCTGGCTCACAGTCAACCAGGATTCGGCGTTTCGGTTCGCAACAGGTCTCACCACCGGCGTTCGTTCTCTCTCTCTCTCTCCCTCTCTCTTTCTATCTTTCCCTCTTCCCCTCTTTGACCCTTCTCCCTCTCGTTCCCGCCTTCATCCTCTCGCCTCTCAAACTCCTGACTCACCCCACCCCCTTCGCGACCTTCCATCTCTCTCTCTCTCTCTCTCTCTCTCTCGCTCTCTCTCTCTCTCTCTCTCCACGACACACATAGACGTTCGAGACTCTCTCGTCGTATTTATACGTATATCCTTGACACATTCCGAGAGTCACCATGTGGAACGCGAGTCAACGTATTCCGCAACCAAGGATCGCATATTCGCAAAGACGTCGAAACGTTCAACGTATTCGCGGTTTCGGATTTGAATGGATCAAAAAAAGAAAAAAAAAAAAAAAAAGAAAGAAAGAAAGAAAAAGAGAAGAGGAAACATGTAAAAAAAAAAAAAAAAAAAAAAAAACGCGTTAGATCGAACGCTTGATCTCCCATCCTGGGAAAATCGGATTGGTAATACGACCCACAAGGATAGCCGTTGGTCGCAATTTAACTCACCGACTACGAAGACCATATTCTTTGTCCATCGCAGCAGCTCCCGTCGGATGTGTCTGCGTTCCTGTATGCAACGGGCATAGGGGCAATCCGCCATTTTTGAAATCACATCTTAGAATGAATGTGTGTGCGTGCCGGCCGGGTGCGCCTGCCTCGAGTTCCCGCGTGGATGTCCACCCCCCACGCCACCGACCGTCCTCCGTCCTCGTCCTCGTCCTCGTCTTCGTCGTCGTCGTCGTCGTCGTCGTCGTCGTCGTTGTCGTCGTCCTCGTCCTCGTCCTCGTCCTCGTCGTTTTCCTCGTCGTCGCCCTCCTCCTCCTCCTCGACGTCGTCCTCGTCCTTCTCGACGTCGTCGTCGTCGTCGTCGTCCTCGTCGTTTTCGTCGTCGTCGTCGTCGTCGTCGTCGTCGCTGCCGCCGTTGTCGTCCTCGTCGTCCTCGTCCTCTTCCTCTTTCTTACGTTTCCCTCGTCTCTCTTCCCACCTTCGATCGATCGAATTTCCCTCAATTCCGCTCCTCTCGTTCCGCGCTCGACGATCTTCGATCTTCCCCCTTGTTCGACGCGAACGAACGATACATGCGATTACAAGGATTTAACGTGCCGGATAGAACGTCACGCGTGGCGTAACGCGCGCCAAGAGCGGGCAAAATCGTGAAAGGCCGACGATGGCGAGGATGGAAGGTGGACGACGATCGTATTCGCGGTCGCGATCGTCCTCGTGATCGGTATCCTCCTTCTCGTCCTCCTTCTCCTTCTATCGTTCACGGTGACGGCGATAGCGGTGGTGGTGGCGGCGGCGGCGGCAGCGGCGGCGGTGGTGGTGGTGGAGGTGGTGGTGGTGGTAGTAGTAGTGGTCGTAGAGGAGGTGGTCGTGGCGGCGGTGGTGGTAGCGGTGGTGGTGGTGGTGGTGGTGGTGATCGTGGTCGCCTCCTTCGTTCTCGTCTTCTCGGCCTTCTTCTTCTTCGTCTTCGTTGTCGTCGTCGTCGTCGTCCTCGTCGTCGTCGTCGTTACGTCGGCTATGGCGGTGGTGCTCGTTCGCGTTGAACGTTGGAGGGATGGTGAGCCGATAGTAGCGTCGGTGACGGTGGCGGTAGCGGTAGCGGTAACGGCGGCGGTGGCGGTGGCGATAACGGTGGCGGCAACGGCGGCGATGTTGGCGGGGTAGGGATGAGAACGCCGAGAAACGACGACTCTCTCGTCGTGTTGAGACAGGGTTAGGGCACGGAAACGCACAACATACGTGCACGCTTGCGCCCTGAAGAACGGTGGTGCGACAGTGCAGTCTGTCGCCGCCGGCAAATCCTGCCTCTTCCTCTTCTTCTTCTTCCTCCTCCTCCTCCTCCTCCTCCTCCTCCTCTTCTTCTACGCTTCTTCTTCTTCTTCCTCTTTCGGCTTTGTTTCGCTTCCACCGATTTCGCCTTTCACGCGCTCACCCCTCCGATCCCTTCGCCCGTCCACCTTTTCTCTGCCAACCACTCGATCCAACTCGTCCTCCCCTCTACCTGAAACACAAAATTCCAAAATTCCTTGGTCACGTTCTCTCCGCGAATAACGTGTACACATACGTATAGGAATATAGGAGGAATATCGATGGATCGATCGATCGGATCGATGGACGGGATCGATCCTCGATCTCGCTCGATTCCACGCTGGTACGCGTGGTCGCCCATCGCCCAAGAGAAGATGGAATCGGTGGAGAGGGATCGGTGGAGAGGGACGGGGTGGCAAAGGGGAGGGAGGGAGGGAGGGAGGGGGGGGGGAGAAGGGAGAGGCGTTGATATCGCATCGAAAGCATTGGCGCGACACCTGCGTGTAAGACGCGATGGGTGGTGGCCCCACCCCGAAACGGAAAGGGTGCCGCTACTCGAAATGAAACATTGCCGGTAAGAAGAACGTCAGGTTGGCCGATGGTGTGTAGGTAGGAAAAGGTGGTGGTGGTGGTAGGGGGGAGGGGGGAGACTCGCACTCTCGCGCGGTGACGCGATATGGGGAGGAAGGGTAGGAGGATGGAGGAGGGTGAGCGGGGTGGTGGAGGAGGAAGAGGAAGAGGCGCGCAGGGTGGTCGGAGGGTAGCTATAGGGGCGGATTCGCGCGTTCTACGCCAGCAAGGGGGTGGGAGAGCGTACCGCCGCCGAGAGAAAGAGAGAGGAGGCAGAGTGCGCCTAATATGCAACAAGAGAAAAAGAATTGGCGATCAATAGGTAGTAGCTGGTAAGCGTCCTTTCATCCGCCCCCGCGGACACCCTCGTCCTTTCTACTTGCCCTATTCCCCTCTCGTCCACCGTTCACCTCCTTCCTCCTCGCTCCCTTGCGCCCGTGTCCTACCTTACCAGCCCCTTCATTCTCTTACGTTCATCGCCAAACTCCTTCGGCTCCATCGCCCTATCGGCCGCGCTAAACGCTTCCTCTTTTGTCGGCCCAAAAATAAAAAAAAAAAAAAAAACGCGTCCAATTTGCCTCTCCATTTTCGATTCCCCTTTCGCGCCAACGACGTTCGCTCTCTCTCTCTCTCTCTCTCTTTCATTCGTTCGCTTTTCCCTTTCTTTTCATTCGCTACTCCATCGCGCCGAACAAACTTTCGAGTAACTCTCGGTTACACGTGCTAACGGACGACACGAACTGGGTAGCGGTCGGCGCGCCCGCGCGTATGCACTCATACATGTGCGCCAACGGTAGAGAGAGAGAATAGTAAGTGGCTTCGAAACGTGACGCGAGTCTTTTAACGCACAAAGGTAAAGGAAGATCTCGTTTAAATCTTAATACCGTGGAGAAGGTGTATATATATATATATATATATATATATATACGTATATACACGCGGGTACATCGCGTAATTCAACGAAATAACGAAAGGTTACGAGGGCTATCCTATCCCTCTACGAGTCTTTCCTCGACGAGTCTGATGAGTATCCGTATCCGTCCTTGCCGATAATTTTGCAATAAACACTCGGTGGTGGACACACGTATGGACACAGAGTCGGAATCGATCTTCATTTACTTGTCAAGAGGAAGAAGATCGATAGCGTTGATACGACGGGGCAGTAGGTGTTGGTGATCAAAATCGGAGCGGGTAGCATTCGTTAAAAGCGGTTTGATTCTCGGTGTTGATATTCCACTCGCGCATGGACGGTGTTCGATGAATAGAAGCTAGCCGTGAGCCAGTACGGCGCGACCACTGACGCTGCAAGATCGATTGGATACTACTCGTGCTAGGTAAGCCTATACGAACAATATCGATGAAACACTCGGGACATTCTGTTCCGCAGTTCCACGCTACGTTTGCTCTACATTTTCCCTGGATCGCGCGCGCAACGATAATATCAAAAAGTATTCGCATCCTTCCACCTTCGAAACCTTCCAAATGATCAAAATTTTCAACTTTCCGCGCAACCCTCGACGATACCGTTGTTCGTCGAGTAATTAGGGAAATCCTCCGAGCAATATTCCGTAATCTCTCGATCTTGCGTCGACCGACCTCGATCGTTGGAGGAGAAAG